ACTTTGTCTTCTGGATTCTAGATGCACCAGAAGCAACCTTCTCCTTTTGGACCTCACAGGTGTATCTCTGAACCAATAAATTCTCCTTTCTGTGTGCATGTATAATCTAGTTGGACTGGATTTCCATCACTTACAACCAAGGACGTTCCAGCTTATCATCAGTGGCCAGGGAAGCAGATATTGGCTGAGGTGAGTTGTCTAACCAGAGCAACAGTGAGGGAAGGGTTGTGGGCCTGAAGCAAGAAGACTACCATAGACAAGCAACCTGTCTCCAAAGTTTCAGAGAACCTGCCTTTCAGCCGCATACACATGTCTGTGAGTCTCTTCTCTTGGTCCCGGGGAAGCATACACAAGTATACTCAGTTAGGGAGGTAAGGAAAGATGGTCCCTCACACTGACAGTTTCTCCTGGAAGGGGAGAACAGGACCCAAATTCTGCCCCAATATAATGCTCCTGTTACCCTGAAAACTACATCTTATTTTAAACCTTTACTTAGGAATCTAAACAGTTGCTGCCTTGTGAAATACCCAACCACCTCAGTTCCCTTTAGCCTGTGTAACCATATGTTTTCTTTCCAGTCTCTTGTTCTTGGCTGCTAACATCTGCATGTACACACTGTCTTAGCATCCTAAGTCTCGTCTGTTCTCACTGCCTCTTCTTCACCTGAAGCCATAATCCCAGTGTGTCACATCATAATCACTTCCCCAGAGCACTGCTGCTTCAGGTGGGGGAATTAAACAGCAGGAGATAAACTCTTAGAAACAGAGATCCTGACTTCTTATAGCAAGGGACATCCTCCACTAAGCCTGTCTGGGCTTTACAGATGATCCCCTCCTGGCGTCGCACAGAGTAATACATGAACGCCAGAAAAGCACCCATGCAAAATATGCTGGTGTGTGTCACAGGGCAAGACCAAACAGGGTAGGGTGAGGCAGGGGTAAAGCAGATGTCTCTCAGGTGTCACTCAACATAACTGTCAGCTTCCACTAACAGGGCAACATTCACTAGAAAGAATAAAATATCTCCAGAGCCATCCTTATTAAGCCAAACTTAATAAGAATTTGCACCAGACAGTGGCGGTGGAAGTCACTAATGAAAGTCCCTCTGACCTGGAGGTATGCCAACCCACGGCTGGTCTATCTTCAGTCTCTGGTATGAGCTCTTTCATGTTTTCCCTAACAATGCAAACAGTCTCGTCATCTTCTCCCTTGTGCTAGTTTCCTTTCCTCCCTTGTCTTTTGTCCAAATCTCTCCCCTGAGCCCCTCAAAAGAAAAAAAGAGGATATAATAAAACATGGTCTCATTAATTACTTGAGATACAAACTGAAACATCTCCATCAGTAGATGAAATACACTTTCTATTTCACTGATAGTAGAAATGGGGCAAACCCTTAGCAGAGGGGATAAGGATGGTCACAATGCTGATTGGTCAATTTAAAGTTTCAGTAGGGTTCTTTGTGCTTCTAAGACTAAAACTGGACAGCAGGTTCTGCACGCCTTCTGAGACTGTAAATGCTGATCAATAAAATGTTAATTCTAAATTAACCATTCTGGGAAAGAACGGACGTGTACTTAATCTGAAATTTTCCTAGAAGCTTTCATGTATGGCTCAAGTTTTACTTTTTTAATCCCTAATGGTGCCTTCCCATAGCAAGTACTTAACACGTATCTGTTGCACCAACACAAGAAAGAGCGGTTAGCTTCGAAGTAAGACAGCTGAGCTGATGAGCTCAACTAGGCATCCTAGAAGCACATGGTAGCAGGAAGGTGCTGCTGAGAGAGAGCAGATGGGTTAGGAAAATTCCATCACCACTTCAGGAAAAGTAGCTCATGAGCCAGCAGCATTTTCTTCGTATGTACTGGCTACCTATTGATTTTCAGTATAATATGTACCTTTCTTTCAAAAGTTTCACAGAAGTAGTGCAACAACAACCTTGAATGTATTTATTTTCATTATCGAGACAATCAAGTGAGATGCCCTAGGGAAGGAACTGCATCCTTACTGGGAATGGCACGGCCATGCTGTGTGGGGCCATGAGCCGCCGGAGGGCTCAAGTGCTCACCATCGTCCCCACTCCCACTAGTGTATCCTGCCAGGCTGAGAATACACTCAGTGAAAGTTAGTTGAAAAGAACAAATGAATAATGAATAAAAGAATTAGAAGAACTCTGAGAAACTGCTAGAAATTTTCTGTATTCATTTGTTTGTAACACGTCTCCCTAAGAGACCATAATGCTGCGAGAGCGGGGACTTCATCTGACTTATGTCTAGTGCCTGAAATAGTACTGGACTCAGTAAATTATTTTTGGAATAAATGAATAAATTATGAATAAAATCCATTTTCCAGTTGGAGAAACTAAAGTCATTTATTCGATGCTGACTTCTCTTAATACAATATACATATTTGAGAAGTACAAAATGGGTAAATTTATAAGACAGGATAAGTCCATGGGTATACCCAAATCCTCAATGAAAAGGACTCTTTTTTTTTTCCCCCCAATGGTGCCTGGTTAAATCTTGTGCCATAGCAACTGTTCACTACATGGTTATGAATCAAAAAAATTAAGAACTATTAGGGTTAAGATAAAGGTGATTTATTTTTATTTTTCTCTTCTGTCTGACCTCTCTTTGGAGAGGTCAGATAAAATATGTATTTTATAAAATGACATATAGAGCACAATGGGTGGAAAATTTTAAATGGGATAAAAAATTTCAGGAAGTCATAATTTTTCAGAAAGGCTAATATACAAACAATAGGAGTCCTTGTCTTTTGAAAGTAGTCCAGATCAGAAGTTGAGAGAGAGAGAGAGAGAGAGATTGATTTTCCTTTTGCTTATTAAAAAAAATCAAAGTGAAACAAATATGTTTACATGGTCTCTACAACAAAATTCAAGGTGTTCACATACAAACAAGAAAGCAGAAGAGCAGGTTAGTGGCCTATTTACATACCAATATTTGTCCATAGTGGGATTTAAAATGATGATCTATCTAAATTTACCTGGCACAGTACTTTAGATCTAATTATTCATTGTGAAGGGATATTTACAAGGTAAAAAAACCACCCCCTAACAATACTTCACACAAGGCTTCTGAATGTTCATGTTTTAAACATAAATAAACATGTATTAATTCATCACTATAGTAAAACGTTTAAAGCACATAAAATAACAACTTCTTTGTATGCTGATGAGGAAATGCTTCAAAACTGGACTGAGGTTCCAGGAAGCCCAGGGAGACACCCTGTGACTCATTTATTTTTAAAATCAGTTAAGTATCATCTTTGGGTATGCTTCAGTAATACCCCTAGGTCCTACAGCACAGAGGAATGGATGGGACCCTTGGATTTTACGTCCTTTTCGAAACTTGCGTGCAAGTGGTAGTGACTCCCCGACTCTGTTTCTGCTCTGCCTCTGTCAGCCATGGTCAATCCTGTCTAACACACTCAGTTCCCAGAACCAAGGGAGTCCAAGACCTGGGACTAAGTTTAGGCCAGAAGTAAGCCCTTTGCTCTTCCTCCTGGTTGGGGTCTTCCAGTCCTCAGGAAGGACACAGAGAAAAGCTAGGTAAAGCAAAGGAATAGCACCAAGGGCCTGACTGCTCATAAGCAGATGGTGCCAAGAGAGTAACACCAACCAGACTTGAAAATATGATGCCTGCTCAGCTGGTGGCTTAAAACAAGAGATCTGGCCATGCCTTAGTGGCCACTGAGTGATCAATGTGATCAGACACTTGATAATAATATCAGCACGTCACAGCTCTGTAATGTATCTCATGGCACATCGTGGGCCATCTATTCCAACTGGCTCTGAGCAACTACACACTCTATTCTTTATTAGATTTTAAAAGGCTAATTTACCCTTTTTCCATAGGCTGAACATTTTAGTTGTTCTTCTTACATAAAAAAAAACTTTCTGCTTTTACATACCAAAGTTTAATCCAGTTATCTGAGGCCACTTTCCTGATTTATTAGCTTTCTTTAATCCTAGCCAGAGAACATTTATGGTATCTCTGATCTTCAAATTACCAAATTATCAACAATCTTGTAACACATTCAACTCCATTCTCCAGTTCATTAATGAAATATTGACTACTAAGACTTAAAACAGACTTCTTGCAGAACTGAACTCAACATCTCTCCTCAACTTGACATAAGATCATTTATTTGGTTTTCCTTGGCTAAGTCTTCTTGTCCATGCTGGAACAAAAATTATGTAATCCAATAGTCTGATTTTTTTTTAACCTAAAAAAATACACTGTGTGAACTCTTTAAGTATCTACATAAAACAGATGTGTACAATAATACAATCTGTGTAGAACCTTTAAAAACGACCACATTTACAATGGAGAAGAGGAATTAATTCATTGTAGAGCACTTGAGGGTTTCCATGACCAGATGCCTTCTGAAGCTTAATTTCTAATGCTTAAGAGACGTTGAAAGAAATAATCTGCAGTAAGATTCCACACTGGCACACAAACAGATGTATACATGTGAGATTAAAAAAGAAATCATAATAAATCTATGATGACAATTCATGTTTGGCATAAAAATAATAAAAGCTCAATATTTCATTTTCAAGTAAAAGTAAACCAGAATCCATAATGAGAGAAAAATACCTAACATGAATTTCTCTAACCATTCTTTTTAATATATAAAGCATCTTATAGACAATATTTCTTTTGTTTCTTTCTCTCATAAGGCCTAGATTATGGTTAATATCTCATGACACCAAAAGTAATACTGCAACAGATATTAAAGCATTTTTTCAGCCACTTATGCCATAAAATATTAATTGCAAGCCTGTGCATGTGCTGTATATACAAGGGATTAGGTAACTGAGTTCCTGCTCAGTTCTAAATCAATAAAAGATAACATGCTCAGCATCCATCATCGTTTGCTCTTCCTTTAGTACATAATAACTGCAAGTGGAAGATTCTTAAAAAAATATATTTAAGCACTCGTGGAGATATTACAAGCAGGAGAGGATGGAAGCAATACTTACCTAGGAAGGACAGGTTTTTCTCCAGAAGCAAGTCTCTCAGCAGGACTTCGTGCTCATGACCAATGGCACTGGGAAGTCTTAGTTATGGAGGGTAACACAGCTAGAATTACACCATCAGAAAAAATGCTAATACCAGGGCTGTACTTTGAGATGAAATGGAAAAGTGGAGGTAATTATAGAAACTATTCCTACCTTTAGCCCATATCTCAGAAGAAGGACATTTCTACACACATCCCTTCATTTGAATGATTCAATGGACTTTTCCTATAATGTTTAAATGGATTTTGGCAAATAAAGATTTGTAAGTGCATATGAATTTTATCTTCTTTTGAAAAGAGAGGGATTCATTTTAAACATCCTTTATGCTATGTCAAAAATCCCTCAATTCAAATTAGGACCATTTATTAAGCACTTACTAAGTGTGGCAAAGAATACCAACCTGCCTTCGCCCTAAAAGAGTTTCTGGTTCAGAGTTCCATAAATCTTCCGTGAATTCACACTTGTCACAGAGCCTGCATTTAGCAGCTCCTATTTCACTTCTAGCCTATGATTGGTGATCTTCTGTGACTTGTGAAGCCAAACAACTGACTTGCTGAGAGTTATAAGTCCTCTGGAGGAAAGACATCCTAGTAAAAGGCTGTGGATTAGGATGTGGGTACAGAAACTGTTTCAAGTCTTTTCCCGAGTGTGCGAGTGTTCACATATTATAATATGCATAGAAATAAATACACAGATGTAGATATACATTTCTGAGTGCTATTATGAGGCAGGCACTGTGTTAAGTGTATTTCATCCTCACAGTCATTAACGTCCTTATTTTATAGATGAGGAAACTGAGGCTTAGGGAAAGAGCTGCATAAGGTCATAGGGCTGATGTGTGGCAAGAGAGGACCAGAATAAAGTCTCTGGAAAGCCTATGTCTATGACCTCCTTACAACCTCTTAAAAAATTATCAAAATTAATTATGAAAAAATAATTGATACTAGCTTGTATTTCTTAAATACCATACACTAAGCTTTTGTGCTAAACAGTTTAGTGTATCACCTTATTTAATCTTCACAACCACGTGAGTAGGTACTATTATTAGTCCCATTTTTACAGTTAGAGGAATCAAGGCTGAGGAAGGCTGAGGAATTTGCTGAAGGTCCTGTGGCTGGTAAGTAATGAAATCAGGGATGGAGCCTGGAGTTCTGGTCTATTTTCCAAAAGGATGAGACTGTACAAAGTCTGAAAAGGAGTATTATCCTATCCTAATACTGTAATTCTATCAAATAGTGTTACCTATCCTAATACTTAAAATTTATCAATACTTTGGTAATACAGGCAGATCTTCAGGGTATTGTGCGTTCATTTCCAGAAAAATATAAATATTGCAATAAGGCAAGTCACGTGAGTTTCTCAGTTTCCTAGTGCATGCAAAAGTTATGTTTACATTACAGTGTAGTCTGTTAAGTGTCCACTGGCATTATGTCTTAAAAAAAGGCACATACCTTGATTAAAAATACTTTATTGCTAAAAAATGCTAACTAACCATCATCTGAGCCTTTGGCAGGTCGTAATCTTTTCGCCATAGTAACATCACAGGTCACCATAATATAGTAATAATAATGGGCAAGTTTAAAATATTGTGGGAATTACCAAAATGTGACCCAGAGACACAAAGTGAGCAAAGTTGGAAAAACGGCGCCAATTGACTTGCTCACTGCAGGGATGCCACAAACCTTCAATTTGTAAGATGCGCAATATCTGAGAAGTACAATAAAGCAAAGCGCAATAAAACAAGGTCTACCTGCAATTATCCAATTCTCCATCTCTCTGATGATGTCAGCCTGGTCATATCACTCTTTGGTTTACCAGAGACTTAATTCTGATCATGCACCACAAGAGTCCAATTTAAATCAAATAAAGTTTATATAGTATTTGTTAAAAAAAAAGTCTTAGAGAATTAGCCTGCCTTTATCAACATGTACAGGTAAACATCATTTAAATCTCAGCATTCAAGAGGTGCGACCACTCACATCTGGTGTCAAAACAAGCCCCAAGTCATCCTCACTGTCTCTTTCTGTCTGTTTTCCCCTCCTCCGCATGCACATGACTGCACCTATTTAATTTCTCATTGAGAACAAAAGAAAGGAAACAAATTTTTAAATCAAAGAACTTCACGCATTGGCAGAGGCCACTGACGACATCTGATGACTACCTCTCAATGGCCCCTCATTACTAGGGGCATCCCACATTTTAGAGCTAAATTATTTACTTCTATTGCACAGAAATGTGCTCTCACTCCTATTGTTGTAAATTATTTACATCTAAAATGTTGAATCATGAAACGGAGGTTACTGATGGTACAGAAATGAAACCCACAGCATTTTACGCTTCCTGCATCATTATCCTTGCTTGCTTCTCTGTTTAGGTCTTTGTCTAATAGCTGTGTCCTCAAGTCACACTTTGGAAAGCTGAGGTGGCTGGTTTCTCACACCTTTTGTGGCAGTGAATATAACATGTGGTAGGAAGGGAGGGAGCACGGCTATGTAGGAAAAATTACAGTGGACACCAAAAGAAAAAGAAGGCACAATGACAACGGATAGATTCTTTGCTACTATGCTTTTTTGGTGTCTTACTAATAAATAACCAGTTGATTTTATTCTACTTACACAAATGTAACTCTACGTGTCACATTTTCATAATGGAATAAAAAGGTTTTGCACCTATTCTACTTACTAAATGTGTGCTTTCTTTCTAACACAATGATGTAATTTACCGAAAGCAAGCAATATACACATTACCAAATTATCAGAACAACATACAAGTAGCATTTTCACTCACAAGAAAACTAATACTTTTTATTCAGTGGGAAATAAAATAATTCCTGTTGATCAGCCTAGGAAGCATCTATGCAAGTGTATTTACATTACAGGAAATTGCTAATGCTTCAATGCAAAGATAAAATCAGTTCTCTATAAACCTCCCAGCCCATTGTATTCTGCATGGTGAAAGCAATCACCAATTTGAAAGTTTGGAAAGATATACTTCTTAATTATGCTTTGTTTGATATAAACATATATAAAACACAAGGTCCAGAAAATAAAGCTTATTAAAACAGTAATTTTACTGGCAATAGGCAAAATGGAACAGTGAAATTATAATCTAGTCACTGAATGCAATTTATAGACATACATCATTATCTTTATCAACTGAAATCATGTACTACATTAAGCTCTACCAGCAATAACACAATCTAAAAAGGAAAGTGAATGGTGGCAAAAAAGTAAGGAAAAATACTCCAAACAGAATTTATAATGCTCCATAAGCAGAAACACTTAGACTTTCTCTATAATAATACCTATTATTGATGTATGGCAGTGACCATGGGGCAAAACTTGTAAATAACCTCACAAGCCATTTTCTACGCCAGCAATACAGCAGTCTAGTTTCCCGTAAGCATCTCAACTATTACTGAAAAACAGCCTCCTGGCATTTACAAAGCAGTTGACTTCATACTTTAGTCCATGCATATATAATTAGATAGTTATATTTAAAATCAATATGCAATCCTTCAAAAGACATTATGCTTTTAAAACCTTAACTTTAAATTGATTTTTAACTATTTTATGTGCTTTAAAATTAACATGTAATTCCGCCCCAGATACTTCGAGATGGTGTTAGTTGTTATATGAATGTGCTAAACTTTATCACTGTAGCAACATGAGGTTGGCATTCTGACAATTTCTAACACCACCATTAATTTTACACGGAAAAGAAGCCTAGTTTCACTTTGGTCTAATAGAAAGGAGAGCTTATGTCAGTGCTGTGATGTATTCATTTAAGTTAGACTGGGAGGAACAGACTTGGAGGATAAATACATAAAGGGCTATAATGTAGATGCTAAATACTTACAGGAGGGCTCTGTTAAAAGATTATTTTTCAAAGGTTAACTTTATGAACAAGAAAATGAATAATCTTTTCTTTGGTAAAAATTTTGCTTACCCTAAGCCTTTATGAAACAAGGTGGAATATAAACACACGTCCGTGTGCGTGCCCACACACACACACACGCACACGCACACACACACGGCAAGCAAGGGCTTCTAACGAAAAGCCTCCTGACAGGCAATCACCGAGTCACAACTGGTCACAATGCCACCTGCACTAACAAAACCCAGAAAGGGCATGTTATATTATTAAGAAATATGAGACTTATGGACTCGGAAAAATACAATTTTCATTAAAAAATTACTAATTATTTACTCTTTAAACAGCATTTTTAGCTAAGGGTTGTCAAAATTCTTAGTGTTGCCACAACACTGTTAAATGTATTCACTGATGTTCTATTTCAAGAAGTGGTTACTGTTCACGCAAATCCTGCTTGAATAAGTAAGTATTAACTCTTCAGTAATCTCAGTATCTTTAATGAAGAATGACTGGACATCTGTTTTCATAGGCTTAAATCCAGTCCATAGGGAAAATTAGCCTGGTTTTCTCTAAAAATGTTTATTAGAGACCCAAGCGACAGCTCAGCTTGTAGTCAACATTTAAGCAGTAAGAATCTACTGTCCTTTAAAATGTGGTGGTCTCTGGTGGCCTTTTAATCATATCATCTCTTAACTCCAGCCTCAAAATTTATCCTGGTAAACGCCACTGAACTTGGTTCACTTTAAACAGAAATTTGTTATATTTGAAAGAATGTTCACAGGAATGGTTAGATACATTCCAAGACAGTATGTTACCTGCCTAATGACTCTGTACCTTTAAACTCATTGAAAACCAAGCAGTTTGAAAGAAGCATGTGCACGTGCAACTGCTGAACTGACATCTTCCCGGGGCCTGATTTTCCTTAAGCCGTAGCAAAGAATGGTCTGCAGTGACCCTCCAGTTGATTGAATATAAAATAGAAGAGTATGAAATGTGTTTTGTGAAGCAGAACTTTATGTCAGGTTAAAGCTAGACACATCTCCTCCACTGAGTCTAAGCTCGTCAATTGTGCACCTAAAATTTTATGGGAAAGGATACTGTTTGATGCAGTCCACCAGTGGTCCATAACAGCAGTCGTTCACGATGCACTGCAGACAAATAAGAGAAAGGGTCTGGGCTGGAGCGACTACAAAAATTGTCACAGTTAAACAGTATCCTAAAAGCGGTAATTACTTTTCTTAAAAATTTTTTGCAAAGCTATCAAAAGACTGTTCTGATTTAATCACAAAACAAAAACTGCATGCTTTTTATTCACTATAAAAGCAAGCTATTAAAAAGTGAAATGCTCTTCTCGAAATATTGCATTGCCATTTATGGTGCACCCTGACCTCAGTGATAGTTTATGATGACAGTAATTAAATGAGGTTTAAAATCCTTTACTCTGCTAGGCAGATAACAGCATTGCCACAGAAAATAGACAGCTGTGATTAATACCTGATAGACCTGATTTGCTAGAACTCCATCTGGAATCTGAGAAGGGTCCCGTAGCATACTATTTATAACAGACTTGGAGGCTGAGAAGAAAAGAGATGAACTGTTAGCAGACAGTCAACATACTTTTAATGCAACATGAGAAGTGACATATACCTATAAACACACAAACCATGAAAATAAAAACATTACTGATACTAATCAGCTTTTCCTTTTTTTCAGATCTAAGGGGAGCTTTTAATTAGACCCTTCTGCCAAGTTTGAAGCCACATTGCCAGATTTGAAGATGACCTAATTTTTCCAAGGTAAAGTACATTATAACCAAGTATATGTACCTGGATACCTTAGTGAAGGCAGGTCAGATTCAAAGACTTCAATGATGCCAATAAAACCAACCTTCAGCCAAGAAAGCATCTCTGAATTCTAAACCTTCCTAAAATAATTTTCATCAACTGTCACAAAATGTTACACATGTGAGGAAAGTAAGTAAAACTGACTTACAATTGAGCAAATCTTAAATAAATACATATACATGTATTTGTATTTATATATGAGTATGTGTCCCAAAATCTGTCTAATCACACCCAGTTGCAATGTAAGTTGACCTTACCCCAGGGAACTGCAGCAGAAGGGGCTATGGAGGCATCTTAGGAGGGATGCTGTATCAGACCACACCCTCTAAAAAGCAAGGCAGGAGATCCTGGCCTCACTGTTTACTGTAGGCAGGTTGAAGCCAGCAGCCAGAATTCCTCTTCCTCAGCACGGGAGGAAGGCAGGTCTCTAGACTGAACCTAAGTCAAGTGTTGCTTAGGAATCAATTCTTTCAAATCCTCCCCAAACATTTAGCAAAATGGCTTAGGGTCTGGTCCTTATAAGCACAAACTAAAATATGCATACTGGATAATTATCTACTTAACAGAATGAACACAGACCACAGACCTACCATCATTCAGGTTCTAACATAACTGTTGGTCTTTTTTTTTTTTTTAAGATTATTATGTTCATTGTCAAGTTCAGGACCATAGAACACTGACAGGAATGATAAATGTTAGTAAATATCGTGGAAAAAAATAAGGAAATTACATCTTTATCACTTAAGCACAGTACTGAGTTCACAAGGAAAAAGTAAAGTACAATTATTTTAATTATTTCCTATTCTTAGTTGCATAACTGCACACTTAAAGCAATGTTGTGAAGTTAACCATTTTGAAACATGTCTGCACTGCAAGTGGAGAAGCCCTATTTGGATATCTGAAGTCTCAAAAGGAGCATCATCACCAGAGGAATCCTATCCAGTCCTCTCTCTACAACCAGCTCTGCAACATGGCAAGTTATGGAGCCTCTCAACTGCACTGTCTTCATCTGCAGAGTGATAATGTCATCTGACCTGACTACCGTTAAGGGTTCTTGTGCGAGTCCCTAGGGAAAACAGCTACAACAGCTATCCTGTTCTTTTGTTCAACTTTAAGTAATAATAAGCATCAAATCATGCCTAGGCATTTGCTTCCTGTAAGCTTAAGTTAGACTCAATTATTTCTGAGAGAAATTACCATGGATAAATGGAACAAACACTGGAATTACAAAGCAGTACAGTCTTAATTATTGCAACCATAGTGTTAAATAGATCGTAAAGAACCTGGTAAACTCACTCTGTTTTCCCAACTTAACTCTAAGGCCAGGCCAGTAGGAGGGGACCAAAGCAATCACTCACGCATTGGGTCACCTTCTCTAGGGGTCCTATACTCTCTCTGGTCTACCACTCAGTCCCCAGGCAGTAATGGAGGACACACTCTTTTATGGTACCCACAATGCCATCAGGGCAAGTGTCTCAAGGAAACAGAAGCGCCTTCTCCACGTGTACCTAGTCATTGCTGAGATGTTACACTGCCAACTCCCATGCCCCTGTGAGAAGATTACTACATGACCAGACAGCTGAACCAAAAGTGCTAGTCTATAGAAAATTACTGACCTCATACCAAACTGTATGCAAACTCACTGCTAAAACCATAAAACAAAGGCCCTTAAAAAAAAAAAAAGGACAATACCCTAAGACAAAAAAAAATTAGGTCATTTATTTTATGAGGGAAGAAAGGGAAATATGAAAGGAAAAAGAAACTTATGACATCATAATTTTCCTTACAATATAAATTTTAGAACAGTGTGCTTATCAGAATTAGGAATCATAGCAAATAAACTTAAAAAACAGTTTGAATATACTGAATAGAACACTATTCAAATCAAAGGAAGCTTATAAGAGGAAGTCAGTCATTTTAAATTGAATAGTAAAAATTATATATTGACTCTACGTTCGTTTAGTTATTTATTTTAGTTGGAGATAATTAATAGTTTATTTACAATATTGTGTTAGTTTCTGGTGTACAGCATACTGATTCAGTTATAATATATATACTTTTTCATATTCTTTTTCATTATAGTTATTACAAGTTATTGAATATAGTTCCCTGTTGCTATACAGTAGGACCTTGCTGTTTATTTTATATATAGTAGTGTGTATCTGCCAATCTCAAGCTCCTAATTTATCCCTCCCCCATCCCTTTCCCCCCAGGTAACTGTAAGTTTGTTTTTGATTTTAAATTCAACTAAATACCTTTTCTCTTCTTGCAACCTGCTGAAGTCAAGGCAGCGGCTCCAATGCAGGACGTGCCTGCCTTATTTGCAGATTCTGCACTCAGGCTTCACAAAAGTATGTCTATGTCTCAGATCAAGCCAGAGAGTGCACACATACTTTCATACACATATCCTGATGCTTAGGAACTGCCAAAGGGGTAAATAAAAACATCAACCACATAGGGAAAGGCAATCGAACAATCTTGGGATGGCTGGGGATAAGAGGCCTCAAGGAAGCCTGTGCCTTTCAGGGAAGCTGTCCCGATGCCAGCCACAACATCGGCCCAATGTGCATCCGTCTATTTTGCCCATATGTGGATGGGAGTCTTGTTCTCCCTATCCTCTGCAAGAGGCATTCCTTCCGTTGATTTCACAGTTTAACCCCGCCAACTGCTTCAACTGCTGGGATTTCTACTACCAACCAGGCATGTGCAAAAGCAAGAATGCATGAGTCACTGGAGCAAGATGCACCAGAACAGGGGAGAGCAGGTACCTGTCAAGGCACACTACAGAAGACAGGCAACACTCTGTGTGGTTTTATTTCTGGTCTCTCTATTCTGTTCCATTGATTCCTGTGTCTGTCTTTGTGCCAATACCTTGCTGTTTTGATTATTGTAGCTTTGCAGAATATCTGAATTGATATCTATTATTGATAAGATCTCTACTATCAGTCTAACAGTAACTCCCATATAAGTGATTTGTTTTTTAATTTCTGGTTGCTTTTAGATTTTTCTTTGATATTCAGTAGTTTCATCACTGTGCACCTGGCTATGGCTCTTTTCATTTAACCTGCTTGGAATTAGCTATGTTTCAGTTTCATAAATACTTTTAGCTAGTCTGAAAAACTGGAGCCATTATAACTTTGGCCTCCATTCTCTCTTTCTGGAACTCTCACATTAGACACCTCTTAGAAGGTCTCACTTATCCCCTATATCTCCTACTCCCATGAACTGTTAATATTTCCCCTCTCGTCATCCCTTGTGTCATACTGAAGTTGCTTTCCTTAGATCCAGTGTGGAATTCTCTAATTTTTGTTCTAAATCTTCTAATTTTGATTTTTTGTGTAATCCACCTAATGAACTTTCACCTAATGAACTTTCAACTCCAATGACAATGATTTCATTTCTAAATTTTATTTTTGCTTTTTAAGTGTGTTTTTTACACTATTTTCCATGCTTTCATTTATCCAGTTGAATCTTTCTTTTCATTTATTCAATCAGTTTATACATGACTTTTATAGTTCATAAGTCACTTTATATATAAAATTTATAATGTCTTCATTTTCTCATCTCTAGTCCATATTGTTATCTGTCTATGTATCTAATCTATTTTACCTTCTACCTGCCCACCCATCTTCCCTATAATAGTGGTTTCCTCACTTGCTTTGTAAATTTTTACTGTGAACTTATTTTCAGCAAGAATTGTTTGACCTGCACTGTGTACATAACCATGACACAGTAGTTTCATGTTCACTTTTGCAGAGATTAGTTTTATTGTTAATTTTTTAGCCCAGGCTTCCTGCAGGAAAGAAGAGTGCAGTTCTGCACAGATCCACAAATGGTGCTGACCTATTTCTAATTACTCTCTCCTTTCCTAATATTCCACAACTTAAAGCCACATAGAGTAAGCAAGCTTCTTTGCCATTTTCTCCAGGCAAATAGAATTTCCTAGTCCTTTTTTGCATGGTTTGGGCTATGTGTGGAAGCTCAATTCCAGCTCCTGGCTGCATATCTTTTCCTATGAGGATTAAAAATCCCAGTCCCTGACTTTTACGTCTATATCTGAAGCTAACAATTCTTATAGACCTATACAATGTGAACCTCTATTTACCATTCTGCAAACATTCTCTCCCCATTCTTTGAACCAAAGATTGAATTCTTTTTGTTTGAAGTTGGTCACATACTTCAAGATTTTTTGTTGTTTATTTGGTTTATCATTTCTATGTCTTTGTGCCATAGAAATACAGCCCATCAACAAAACTCATTCTGCTGAAATTTTTGGAAAACCTTTAGTACAATGTTCAAAAGAAAGCTGGTTTCCTTGTTAATTTTTTGGAGTTGAAGTTATATAATTATATAAAGATCCTTCCATCAAGTTGGAACCCCAAACAACAGAGAGAAGGCGAGGTGACAAATATGCAGATAGGCTGGAGAGTGGAGCCACCTAGACCACCCCGAAGCCCCCTCTGCTGCACTGTGTCTGGCTAGGCCAGGGAACGGGAGAATGGTCACTGGTGGCTAGAAAATAAACTGTTACCCTGACTCCTCCAACGGCTACTGCCATGTTGCAGGCCAAAGTGCTGTGCTAAGCAGCAAGTCTAGGAAACGAGACAGCTTGCTTCTGAGGGTTGGAGAGGGGGCGCTTTACACAATAGTTAGCATGCTTATAGTTCGGCCATTTAGGCTGGGCTCGATGGAGGTAGCTTCACTTTAGGTGGTGTCAGCTGACGTGGACT